AGAGGAGAGGAGAGGAGAGGAGAAGAGGAAACAAGAGAGGAGAGGAGGATTCATTGGCTGTAAAAGAAGAAAAGCAGCGACGGAGGGAAAATGAATGAATCACTGAAATGAAAATGTATTCCATTTCATTTTTTTATGACACAGCAGCTCTGAGCAGATATTAAACTATCTGAGCATAACATTTAATAACTAGATAAATGAGCTTCAAACCACAAGATCTGCTGAACAAAAGCCAAAAGTCTTATAAGTGCTTTATGACGTCGCGGCTCTACTTCCTGTAGTCTGACCCTCTGACTTTGGTCGGACTCTGATGGTGCAGTGTTATTAGAATAACTCTGTAATATCATTTTAATATCCTTTAACCAAACCACATCAGACTAAAGGACCACATATGCCCGAGACAAACATATGTGGATCAACACATATATTAATAAAGGATTGGCAGTTTGGTCTTTATTTATGTAAAAAATATATTGTCGCCATCGGAAACCACGTAGCTCCATATTTAGTAATTTTTGTTTTGCTTCATCAATCAATGCTATTAATATCAAATATTCATTATTAAAACATCAATAATAGAGAGACTGCATGAAAGTATCCGAACATATACAAACCCATAATACCAACGATGTCCATTTAGAAAAACAGAAATTAGGAAACTTGACTTGGTTTAGAAAAAGATCTCATTATTTGGGTTACAAGAAATTAGCTCACAAAAGGGTTCGCATGACAACATTTATCTCCTAATTCTTCGTGTGTTTTCCGACAAAAATGTTTACGATCTTTTCAAAATAAGCTTCTGTCCTCACAGGAAACTCAATTAGGCAACAAAACTGCTTTGTTAGGTTCAGGAAAAGATCGTTGTTTGGTTTAAACAACATATAGAAGTGCCGTCAATGAAGTACGCAAGTTACACGAAAAACAAATCAACATTGACTTCTCGTCCGATGCAGGGATGGAACATCTGCCTCCTGGTTCTGTTGCCTACAGCTAACTGTTGGTTTTGTTGGCTAAACTCTTTCGTTCGATGACTTTGTTGCTCTTTATACCTCGTCTCCCGACTTCCTCCTTGACTCCCGCCAAAACGACATCATCATAGAGCTTCACTGACCAAGCTGCTGTGTTTGGGGACTTGTGAGGGAGAACGTGCTGATATAGAACAACTGGTTACAGTTTTTAAATCAAACAACCAGGAGGAAATGGTGCATTTGTTAGGGGGGACTATTTTCAGCGGCGGATTAATCCACCTTTGATCAAATAAACTACGGTATGTTGACGGCGATGAAGGTGGAGCTCTATGTGATGCATACAAGACTTGGCGTTGGATTAATTCCCTGTTTTTCTTTGTTACAAACATAAAACATCAGCAGTCTGATCAGAATTTGAATTTCACAGCGAGACGAGTCTCGTCTGAACGGATTTCACTTTAGAATTAAATTCTTACATAATTCTGTCTCGCTCAATCTCCGAGAGAGAGAAAGAAAGAGAGAGAAAAACCAACAAGAGACTCAGATAAGCAAATCTCAGCTCTCTGGTTTCACTCTGTGGAGAGCTGCTCCAATGTCAAAGACTGACCTTCAGCAAACAATACAGAGAGGCTGATAGAGTGATGCAAAGAGAGGGAGAGGACAGGAAAGACAATGGAGGAAGAGCAGCGAACAATGCGGCTTCATCCTCTGGATGCGGACAGTAGAGAACGTGAGCTCTAAAGCCGCTATTATCACCACAACCGCTGTGTGTCTGTGGTACATCCTCTGGAGAAACTCAGCGAGCACGCAGAAAGAACATGAAGCCGGCATTGGTTCAACTATTTTTCTTCAAAGGCTGCAGATATAAAACACAAACAAATAAAATACTGCATTAAACATACTGCTCTCACATGCACATGTGGAGGAAGATAGGATTGATAGGTTTCATTTATATATTAATAATAAATCAAAGCTCCCGTTAATGTGAACAGAGCTGCTCACAATTAAGACCAAGTCTGCAGCTTTAGGGCCAAATCAGAGAGCCGGATCACAGACTTTAGAGGACGCACAGTCTCACGGCAGGTCGGCAAACAAAACCAACAGTTAGGTTTCGACAACAAAACCAGCAATTAGCTTCAGGCAACAAAACTACCATCAGTTAGGTTTAGACAACAGAACCTCTACCATAAATCCACAATGCTGTGTTGAACACTGGTCTTCTGGTTAAACCCCCTCTCACCCACCAATAGTTATTTTTAGATAATATAAACTATTTCACTTGCTCTGACTGTTGCTTAGTCACATGCATTTAATTAATGTGTCCACCACCATTACGAACCTATAGATAACAATAAACAGCTGTACTACAGCGCTGAGTATATAAGAAGTGGACGTAGTCACAGTAACATCAAACATCACATCAGCATTAATGACCCAACATGTTTCTTTTATTTTTCATTGCAAAAGTTTACTGTTCTAGAAATCACAGCTACAGCTGAAATACAAACGATCAAACAGAGAAACAGACTACATGGACATGAAGTTAACATCAGGCTGGTTTCTGCCATGGCAGACACAGAGAGAGAGAGATTTTGATTTTTAGAAAGCCTTTATTGTCTTTGACCAACATGTTTCTTTATCATTTAAAACGGTTAAACAACTAAAGTCCAACAAACATAAACTTGTCTTTGATTGTCTTTAAACTGTGAGATCTTATTCTCACTTAGCACCATCTTTGTTCAGCTCTTTGTTCACTTTGTGAACTATTTTCTTTAGTCTGAAGCCTTCCTGCTTCGTGAGACCTCCTCTGTCCTTGCTCCTCATGTGAGCTCTGGCAGAGCTGGAGAGCTTCTTTGTCAGAGAGGTAGTCCTCCACTTTGGCTCCTCTGACATTCTTACTCCTCTTCAGATACTCCTTTATCTCCTCCACACTGTAGTCTCCAGAGCTCCTACAGCTGCCAGCACTGTGTTTAGAGGGCTCACTGTCAGCAGCAGCGCCCTCCTCCTGACTGGACTCAGAGTCCTCTTCCATACTGGACTCACACTCTGCTGCTCCTCCACTTTCTTTCGTTGCCGCTTTCTTCGCCTGTGAGCTTCCGCTGTCTCCTCTCTGTTTCCTCTTGAGCTGAGGGGCTTTGAGCTGCTCCTCGTCTGCCTCCATGTCCACCTCCCTACCTGACTCCACCTGTCCTCCAGTACTCTCCCTCACCTGCTGGACCTCACTTGCCCCGTCCTTCATCACCTCTTGTCCCCCACTTTTCCTCTCTTCTCTCACCTCCTGTATCCCACTTGTTTCCTCCTCCCTCACCTCCTGGGTCTCACTTGTTTCCTCGACCCTCACCTCCTGGGCCACATTTGTCTCCTCCACCCTCGCCTCCTGTGCTCCACTTGTTCCCTCTTGTCCGTCCTGCTTGTCCCCTCTGCCCTCCTCAGTACCTTTCTGGTTCTGGTCTTCATGAGAACCATTTTTCTCAGGACAAGCTCTGCTCAGATGTCCTTCTTTCCCACAACTGTAACATTTAAAATTATTAGTCTTTGCAAAGATGACGTAGTCAAAGTCCTCTACTGTGAGTTTGAAACTGAGGTTGACCACTCTGCTCCTGTTGTTGGGGATCATGAGGACATGTCTCCTGTGAGACACCACGTGCTTTAACAGCGGAGACTTAAAGCCAGAGGACACTCTCCTAACCGGAGACATCACCTTCCCATGTTTGGACAGCTCTTTGATTATTGCATCGTTTCTTATGAATGGTGGCACGTTGGACACGGTGACTTTCACTTCCGGTGAGCTGAGAGGATACATGAGCAGGAAGTGTTCACCCACGGAGATCCCGGTCATCAACACCACTTCCGTAGTTTCTGTGGTATCTAGAAAGATGACCACAGCGCTGTTCATCCGTGCTGCGGACTTCACGTGGCTGTGGCCGACAAGCTCCCCCACTGCCAGGCTGATTCCTCCACTGAACACCCGAACAGCGGCGGGATCTTCACGCCGTGTTCCCTGGTTAACTCCGTCAGGCTCATGCTGGTGTTTAGCAGCCGACAGCACGTGCTGCCCGGCTGCAATCCGCTCACAAAAAAGACCCAAAAACAGCTAAAAGTACACAAAAACCCCCGTGAACCCTGCACACCCCACTACACTATCATATACAACATTACCCAGTGAAGAGAAAGATCGGAAAATCGTTATTTATCGCTCTCAAACACGCTCCTTCAGCTCCGTACTCCTTCCACTCAGAGAGAGAGAGAGAGATTTTTCTGTCTTTAAAGAAAATTGTTATGCTTTTAAAAGATCTGGTTTAATTGCAATACTTAATTAAAAAGGTAAATAATTTCTTGGCACGTTGCTTCTTAAATGTTTAACCTAATTAATAAACCACTCCATCAAATCCATATTCCAGCACATGAATCAGACGTCAGTCTCTTCAGAGTTCAGCGCCGGTTCACTTTTCTAATTATGATTCAGAACTTGTCGTGTTCTTCCTGCTTTCTGGATGTGATTAACAAATATGGATGAATGAGTTATTTTCATGCTGAGCGATCAGCCCGCGTTCTGTCTGGAACTCAACACAACATCAGCCCGAGCAGCGAGGCTTCACTCCAGCAGGGATCCACACGGTGCCAAGCTGCTTTCATTTGTTCCTGCTGGTGTTTGGACTGAAGAGGAGATGAAGAGTTTTGGCTTCATCACGTCTTTGGAAGCTTCTAGATTTGGAAATGTAATTTTGGATTACAGAGTTTTCAACACGAATTTGTCTTCACAATGAGATGAAAAGAGAGACGATGGTACCAAAGGTCAGAAGAACTCTAGTTCACAGAGAACGGGAGTCTGGACTAATGTTCAGTTCTGGTCTTCTCCTAAAGATCTCTTATTAATATAATAAAAACATTTTCATCATTCGATCAGCTCGTAAAAACTGAATATCAAAAAGCAGCCGATCTGGCAGAAATTCAGCCCAAATCTAAAGATGAGTCGGGAGAAACTAATTCAAGGTTCAACAGAATGTGTTTATAACGAATCCAGGGAAGTACTACGTACGTCTCCTACAACATACATTCACTTTATGCCGTCTATGTGATGGGTGCAGCGTTTGGTTGTGCTCCTCTGAGTCTTTGTCACGAGGCTTTCAGACGTGACTTTCACGAATATTCACTGATTAAAACACAGTTTTACATTATTTTACATTGAAGGTCAAATCGTTTTTAAAAGCTGAGAAACAGGAAGTCTTAAAATTCTACATTTGAGTAAATATTTTGCAGCCAAATCAAATGGTTTACAGGATATTCAGCCTCTGTTTCTTTTTAATGCATTTAATACTTGACTTGTTTCTTTACAGGGTTCGTGTGAAGGTGATAAAGTAGCCCATGAATATGAGATTTCAGATTCTCTTCATCATGGAGGTTGGTTTATGGCGTTTTGATGGTTTCACTCGTCATCTTCTTCATTCCTCGCAGTTCATTTAGTTTCTGCAGCTCAAACATCTGGAGGCAGATTTCTAACCAGCATCTCTAACCAGGAGGAGGCCCAGAACCAACCGGTAGGCCTGGAGCCGGGTCCCTCCATGAGGAGCAGGTCTGGACTCTGAATGGGTATCTCCCTTCCCGTGTTTGGGTTCAGCCGTTGTTCGAGACCTCGCTGCACCAGATCTGATTCCAGACTCTTTGTGGCATTTAAAATGCTGATCGTGTCCCGGCAGATTCATTAGCCGTCTCATAAATATTGATTTACCGTCTATTAAGCATTTATAAATCCACCAAATAAATATTAAATTAACGTAAGGTTAAACAAGACACCTTATCAGCATGCATCCTCTTCTCTCCATCCCATAGAATCTGCATGAGGCAAACTTTAAAGACTGGAGCATGAAGGGAAACGTTAGCATGGCGGTACTCTGGTGTCAGAAAGCTGTGGTCCTCCTCCTCCTTCTCCTCCTCCTCCTCCTCCTCCTCTCCTTTGTTTCCATGGCAACACATCCTCGACACTCGCTGTGTGGATGTGACCGGCGTTGCGACACTGAGGGACGTGCAGGTCTCTCTGGTTTGCCATGACTCGGATCTAAAGCTGGATGTGAGTCGGAGTGTGATGCTCAGCAGTCCTTACCGAAGCTTTCTAAAGGATCTCCTCTTTGTTGAGTCGAGCTTTTCTCCAGCTGCAGTTTGAATTGAGTTGATTTGTAGACAGGAGAAATGTCAGGATGCAGTTAACAGGATGAAAACCACAATATGTGAAATAAATGGAATGAAGTAGAAGTAAGCTGAGCTCAACCAAACGCTCGATACCTCTTAAGACGACCAAAATGTTAGCGTTGATTTTCATGAAGTGAAAACACTGAAAGAGTTCAAGTTGTAAGAAGAAAACATGGACAACTCCCAACGCCGTGGTAGAGACCTGTCAATCACTGTGTAGCCCCGCCCTAA